TTTCCCAGTTCCCCAATTTGTCACAGACAAACTGCCAGGAAGACGACGTTTCAACCTACGTTCAACATTTAAATGCCCTCTATTCTTATTTTGAAACTAGGTTTGAAGACGTTTTGACTATGGTAATACCACCGTGGATAATTAGCCCATATGGTGACATAGAAGAAACGAATGTCATAATACAAGAGGAACTGATTGAACTAAGTACAAACGAAGAACTTAAGGTTTAGTTTAAAAACGGATATCAGCAATTCTGGCTGCAAAACAACATACCCGTTCCGTTACTTATCCCGTATTATGGAATATAGCGAGGAAATTTTTAATTTCCTTTCCATCGTCATACCTAGTGGAAAGGGGATTCAACGCTGTTATGAATCTCCTAACGAAAAAAGAAACAGACTGGACATCATTAGCCGAGGAGATTTAAGGTTAAACCTTGCAAAATTGACGCCTAATATTGATAATTTATTATTAAAGCATCAGGTTCATCCTTCTCACTAAAAATAGTTTTATGTTTATTTTATGTTACGTATATTGTATATAACAGATACAAAATTTTATTTTCAGTAGTTTTAATTTAAATTTAATTAATAAATGCACTTTACATGTGTTTTTACTTTAAGTTTATAACACTAAACTTCACTATAGTTAGAAATTTACAAAAAAGCGACGCTTCGAGGGTTCATCGTTTTTTCATTAATTTGTTATTACTAGTTTTACATTATTGTCAAATAAATTATATATATATATATACATTTATTTGTCAATATTGATAGATATTTTTGAATCAATGTTGGCCTTGACTTGGGAATATACAGATAATTTGGAATAAAACTACTTTCGTTATTGAACTAAATTAGAAGTAAATGTTTTATATTAATGTTACCTTTAACAAATAAATAATTTACAAAAAATGCTGCAAAATTTATTTGACTATTTCATTATTTGTTCTGTGGTGTTCCGCAGCTGGTATTCCGGGGAAAGTTTGATAAGGGTACTACCTGGTTAGGGTATATAAGCTGCAACATATCTGTACTCAACCTCTTCTCTTTACTCTTTTCTATTGTCTCTTCATGTGTCCTAATAACATGTAAGGTTCTCTGTATTAGTTCTAGAGCCTCGGATTCATTATAACCTTTGTATCTTGTGTATATCTCTGTATCTTGTAATGATATATCTCAAATAAACATATATACAATCATCTCCAAAGTTCTAATAATGGAATATGTTGCGTAATAAACAGGTCAACAGATATATGTAATAATTAT